GACAAAAGGAAAAGAGCCAAACAGCCTGCAGTACACCTACTTGCTAACGTGGGCATGTATGAGGAACTAAGAGAAGGGAGCAAACGCCCATAATACCTAATAAAAATTATGATCCAATTGATACAACAGAAGAGCGGGGGAAGAACTCATGTCCTAGAGTATTAACATAGAAGCATACAGCTTGCTCAGGAGCCAGAAGTAAGAGAAGAGTAGGAAGGTGGTAGCTTACTTCCTGAAGATACATATACAAGCCCGCATGGTCCAAATTTTAGCAGGGGATGAACAAGCTGAAGGCTTCTGCACAACAGCCAAAAGAAAGATGACAGATCCAACCACAACATCACCTACTAGCAATCAAGAGCATCAAACAGAAAAGACTATATCTGGATAGCAAGAGAGAGTCATGTAAAGCACAGGCATGACTACAAAGAAGCTTTTAGCTACCCGTATATCCATATCACAAGATGAAAGTATGATCCTAAGGAAAAAGGAAAGGGACAACAGCTAAATAAAGAAAACTAACATTCAGAAAGCAGATGCCAATAAACAGACATCAAAAAACAATTACAAGTGAAAAAAATTCTTAAAGGTTTCTTAATGAAATAAAATTAAGCCCAACAGCTTAAGTTTACACTTTCTTCCATTCCTTCATACTCCTACAACAGAGAGAGACTGCCTAATATGGATAAAACACGAGATGGGCTTAACATCTTCAAAAAGAAGGAACGAAGCTGGCAGGAAAAAAGTCAAATTCTCAGGGTGGCATATAGAAGAACAGCACAGTCACAAAGGAACAACAAGAAAAAAAAATGGAGAAGCAGAAAGGCAAAACAAATAAAAACATGAAAAAATATGACATGAAAGGTACGAGGAAGAAGTTCTATAAGCTGCATGGGAAACACCACAGGAAGATTTGGTTTGTCACTCAAAAAGTAAAGAAAGCTCACAACAGAAAACGCCAGAGAACCTCACCATATACTAACTACTGTTTTAGTCCTCTAGGGAAACATGGCCCACAGAACAGCATTACAAGTCTACCAGGTCCCCCTGTCCTGTTCTGTACAGGATCCACCACCTGGCTCCATGCAGGAATAACAAAGGACTAAGCACCTCAAACACAGCAAGGAATACTGAATTTTAGGCCAGACTGGAACACAAACCAAGAGACATCCCAAGAGAGCTGACACACGTCTCATGCCATAACAATTCAGAGAATGAAACAAGGGAGCAATACTCAATTAACAACACTAGGAGACCCACCAAATTTGGTAAAAGTATACCTATGGAAAAAGCCTTGAGGGATGGGGGCAAAGGAAAGGCAGCCTAGCATTAAGGAAAAGCCATGACAAGGGCCAACAGCAGTCACAGCTCGCTCCAGGGTAGAGAGGGGAGCTGCAGCCAGGGCAACGGCCCTAGTCAGCAGGACAACAGTGACAAGACATCAGAACAAGGGGGGGGGGCAAAAGGCAGTGGTGGAGATGGCCGGGGCAAGCCTGTCCCCACCGCCCCCACCCCCCTCCCCCCC